GGTGTAATTATGGACATTTTGGTGATTCACCGTTTGTGATTGAATGAGAACATTGCTTTGTGCCTTTCAATGGTTTTGTTTTGGAGTGCTGCATGTGATGTCACAGTTAGTCCGGATAGACGGTAAGCTTTGCAATGTCAAGATGGAAGGACTGTAAAAAATGCACAACAGAAAGCTTGAAGGTGTATGAAGAAATACGAAAGTACCATGCATATAGAAATAACGCTGAAACGAATCATGCATGAAGCAAAAATAAACTCAATTGAGTGAAGTCAATGCGGATGAATTAGAGTCACTCAAACGAATGTTATGCCAACTACGTATAGTTGGTTCATGAAACGATTACACAAATAAAATGCATAAAAATGATTTCGAATAAAAATCATGATGAATATTAATAAAAGTAAAATTTGTCGATTGCAGAATTGGAAGAAGTGTCATGCTATTTGCAATACTTTATCAAATTAAACCAATTTGAATCGCAAATAATTGAGTTTTTCTTCAGTAGGCATCCAAGTGAATGAGGAAATCAAGGGAAAATCACTCGATTTCCTTTGCATTTTTGAATTTAGCATATCAGAATCGCACCGTTGTATTCACATTTCACCGAGAAACTACAAGCAGTTTCCCGCAAAGGAAGCACTTGAAAACAAATCATATTTGATGTTTCATGCTCATGCTACATTTGAATCTGCATATCAAATTTCTGCTGCCTCGCTGATACGCTTGCGATCAGAAAACGGGGAAAGCGATTGCGAATGAACGCTAGTGTTATACCTGGACACGTCCTTGTGCATTCAGCTTGCGTCTNTCTCAAACCGTTGTACTGGAATGGCTGACATTCACGGTCATCTGGATTGTAGTACCATCGCTGCAGACCAGCATTGCCAGTTCCTGGTGAAAGCGGTACGGAACAAGGATTCGTGGCTGAAATACGCCGCAGATCAGTATCCTCGTTTCAGTAATCATAAGTTTGATCCATTGAGTAGATCTTATATGACACGATTTATCATCTGCTAACTGCCATCCCAGGGAAACTCGAGTAGTAAGTCAATCCACTCTGCCCAAATAGAGTGCATCCAGAATATGGAAAGATTGAAAAAGGTTAAGGATAAACTTTGGAATGGCTGACATTCACGGTTTTCGAATAAAATATCATGATGAATATGAATAAAAGCAAAATTTGTCGATTGTAGAATTGGAAGAGCAGTCATGCTGTTTACAATACTTATCAAGTTAATGCTCGCTGAAAGATAATTCTATCAAGATATGAACTGAATTTCATGTTTTTCCCAATGAAAAACATCAAAAAGTCACCTCCAGGACAACAAACAGTGGTTTCCGGATTCGCTCCAACATGGCACCAGAAATTCACTGGGCACGTGTCTTTGTTGGTAGCCGAACAGAACAGAACCTGACCAGCAGCAGTCGTCGCCGGCTGTCCAATGCATGGATTCTGGAGCGGTTGACAGACCATTTGGCATGCTCGCTGAAAGGTGGTTTTGATACACGAAAAATTCATTTGTACAATTATTCAGTCGAATGATCACTACATCTTCTTTGAGTCCGATCCGTGCATAGCAATGAATAGAGTGCAAGAAATGGAGACTGGTTGAGATTAGAATCTGAGATAATTCGATCAGGAAATGAAGTAAATTTAATGACCAATGTCAGGAAATTGTTCTGATTTCCCCGGCTTCCTTTGTAAATGAATGGGCGACATGCTCGCACTGAAGGATCGAAATAGAATCGCTCCAGATTGGCGCTGCCTTGACCAGTTGATAACGGTAGCGAACAAGGATTCGACACTGCTGCAAAAAATCTCTTCTGAATCCAAGCAGGATTTCAGTTTGCAATCACGAGTTACGACAAGTCAGAATGAGAATGATGCTTGAGTCCGAAGAATGGCAATCATTTCCAGGCTTCACAGTTTTTATCTTTTCGACTGTGATTATTTAATGTTACAAGACG